TCATGCCATAATATCTAATTTCGTGAAAATCTGAACTTTTAGTTCTTATTTATTTTGATAAATGGATTTTCATCAAGTAAAAGCCACCTCAGTTCAACTCTTTCTTACATTTAAGTGAATAAGATTGTTTCTCGTTTTAAATAAAGCACGGAAAAATAAAAACAAATATTTTTTTGCGAATTTTTGAAACTCGAACGATCTTATCCACTCAAATCTAAGAAATGGTATAGGGACTAATATATCAGCCCACATATTAATATACCTAATGGCCCACCCCTGCCTTGTCACTCAAGTATGAATAAATGATTTATTGCTGTTTTTATCCAATAAGAATTAGGTAAAAAAATCTGAACTTTTATTTCTTATTTATTTTTAGTGCATCATGATGCTACTCGAAACAGAGGGCATTGGAACCTTTTTAAGTAACGAGTTTATTTGGCACAAGCGGAGTGCTTAATAAATGCCATTTGCCGCAGTTGCATAATATACTATTATTTTAAATACAACCCTACATATTGTACAGTGCCGTTAAGATGACTAATAGTTTATCTTCATACATGTCCCTATACCATTTCTTAGATTTGAGTGGATAAGATCGTTCGAGTTTCAAAAATTCGCAAAAAAATATTTGTTTTTATTTTTCCGTGCTTTATTTAAAACGAGAAACAATCTTATTCACTTAAATGTAAGAAAGAGTTGAACTGAGGCTTTTACTTGATGAAAATTCACTTAACAAAATAAATAAGAACTAAAAGTTCAGATTTTCACGAAATTATATATTTTCACTTGACAATTGTTTCGACAACACCGTGTCTTTATCAAATGGTTGACAAACTCCATTTTCTTAAACGACACAAATATATGTTATTATTTGGTCTGAAAGGTTTTACAAAACCTACATCTTTTATTGAGTATCTTATTCGCCTATTTTTAATACTTACTTTAATACAATAATTCAACTGAGTAAATAAATTCATAAAATTTATCGTGGTTTCAGTAAATTAAAAAAAACTAAGTATGGAAGCTAAACTAATAGGAACTGGAATTGGAATTGGAATTACAGCATAAACTTCCAGATCGAGAGAAAACTTCTGCACCGTTATAAATGAAGTAATGAGGCCGGTTCAATTTTTTTGTCTAAAATAATGTTTTCCGATGGAGCTTACAACGTTCCAGCTTTGGTATGTACCATTTTCTAATAACTTTTGGAACAAATGAGATGATTCACCCTGTACAGACTAGGTAGACTGACTTGCACGAGCGTCTTTAGCTAATATAGTCAAAAGTTTGGCTTGCGATAAATCGGACGAAAGGGATTCGTCTGACTTGCACATGCGTGTGTATGTAGTCATAACATGGATTATTATTCAACAGTTAATCAATTCTAGGTACGGGAAGTGTAAAACCGAAAAGATTTAAAGTATAGGATCATATTTTTTTCGCTAACCACTTAATAGGCCCAGATATCTAAGCTTTTTGAAGAATGGTTTACCTCAACCTCAACAAGTTTGAGAATGCTTAAATAATCATTACCCACAGAAATGGATCGATAGAGGTGGATTCATTGAATGGCCCTCAATCATGTGACCTAACACCACTAGATATTTTCTTCCTCTAAAACACTAAAAGTTATAGAAAATAGGATCAGAGACGCCTGCATAACAACAACAGCGTTTATACTAAGAAACGTCAAAGAAAATATATGAAGGAAACTAAATATATGTATCCAAACAGAAAAGCATATTTTTCAACATTTTTTGCGCCGTAATAAAAATTAAAAATAAGATAAGAAGAAGTGTAATATTAGGTATTTAATATTATTTACTTTTTCTGTGAATTTAACATTTGGTCTTTATTTTCACCAAAATGGCTGATAACGTCTGTTACTTTATCTACGACTGCAACAAAGTTGTTTCTCCTGTTCATTTTCTAATTTTAAAAGAGGCCTGTTGGCAAATCATTTTGTCATGTTCAACTAATATTATATCAATAGTCAAAAAGAAGGCAAGTATTGGAAAAGGTAAATTAAATCGCAAAGTATGAGAAATGGATACATGATATACCTAACAAAAGTTGGTTAGTTCTCGTTCGTTTGTGTATGTCGGAGATCGTAAGAAATAATCGAAAAAATAATATAATAAAAATAATTAAATAGAAACCCGGAGTGGCGGGTTCTGATGGTGAGCGAGGTGACATAGGGTTAGGGACAGAATACACAGGACACAGTGCTTAAAACAAATGAATGATGATTATTAAAGGGAATCCAACGATCCGCGACCCGCTAAATCAACTACAAAGTAGCCCATCAAAAACAAACCATCGGACCTACTTAATCCATTTTGTCCCAGTGGTGCGTTAATGCACCACTTGTTCTAGGATTTTTTTTTTGTCACATCCAGGAAATATTTTTGCACATCCATTTAGAAATTTTATTATTATCACTACTAAAGGATTTAAAACCGTAGAAATCGTTAACTTATGTGTAAAGGAAAGATCTTATATATGACTTGAAAAGTTCCAAAATAGTAAACAAAAATATTTTGGATTTGTATTGCCATTTTCGTTGTCTATAGCACGTAGATTACATCGCAGAACACATACATTGGAAATACTATATTGATTATGCTTTATTTTTTGAAAATATTTACTGGTGGGTGAATGAACCACTGGTTTTATCTGTGAAAAAAATTTTGTTATTGCAAGTCTAGACAAGACAGCGCATGTAAAATAAACATCCAACAATTAGCGTGTTCTTTAGTATTAGTTTGTAAGTTGTGCCGTGAACGTTACAGTTCGTAAAATATAGCATTTCCGAGGTATTTGACTCAAAAGGAATTAGAGGGGGCTATGGAGGAAATCGTGATGGATGAGGACAATAACAATGAAAGTCGTAAGTATTATTTGGATTTACGTATTTTTATGTATTGTACCATTCCATTCCTTGTAAATTTATGCTAAAAATAACGTGAAAAAATATTTACAGAACATATTGACGCGGTCTATATTCCACCCGACGTGAATACCTTGACTGACGAAGAAGATATGGACGATAACATAAATCTACAAGAGTTTGGGGAACCAACTGATATAGTTGGAACTTTCGAGTTACATGCACTGAATGATATAGCTGTCCTTCAACAGTCCTGTAATTCATCAACTACTGAACCTGAATGGGACTCATCAGATGATGAAACCTTGGAATTCAAAAGAAGACGTATGCTTTCTGCAAACGACAGGCTTGCTTCTACTGTCAAATGGAAGAAAGGTCAGATTGAGTACCCTCACACACTTATATCCTATGAATTTAGATCATGTGAAGAACTAAAATATAGGCTTTCTGGAAAAACTCAGTTTGAAATATTTTTTAGGTTTTATGATCACGAAGTGATTGATTTGATTTTAAAATTTTCTGTAAAATATGCTCAAGACAATAATCGCCATGAATTCTCGTTGAAAAAAAATGAACTTTTAAATTGTGTAGGCATTTTATTGTTCTCGGGTTATCATTCATTGCCACATATTTACCATTATTGGTCTACTGATGAAGACAAAGGAATTGATTTTATAAAAAAATGTATGAGCCTCAATAGATTCCAATTGATAAAGCAAAACTTCCACTTAGCTGACAATAAACTGTTGGATCAAAAAGGTACATTTTCATAAGTTAGACCCTTAATAAACAAAAAAAATCTTCAGTTTGGCATATTTTCGTTCAATTTATCCATAGATGAACAAATGGTACCTTACTTTGGCCGCCATTCCTGCAAAATGTTTATAAGGGATAAGCCAATTTGTTTTGGCTTCAAGCTTTGGTGCCTTTGTTCATCTGATGGGTACCTATTTTATTCACTTCCATATGGTGGTGCTCAAAACAAACCTGATCTTGTTCTTGGCGGTGGCGTTGTCATGAGTCTACTTTCTGTTGTTGATAAGCCAATAAGTAAATCACCAAATGTTTTTTGACAATTTTTTCTCATCATTCAAACTATTTGTAAATTTAAAAACTAATGGTTATTTTGCCACCGGTACTATCCGGGAAAATGGAACGAATAAATGTCCAATGGAAAATTGTAAATCATTTAGAAAAAAAGGACCGCGGATCCTATCTTTCAGTATTTGAATCTGAATCAAAAATTTCTTTAGTATAAATTATATGTGGTATATTTGGTATATTATATGTTACATCTTATGTGCTCCAAAACATTATTTAATGTTTTTCCCAGTGGTTCGTTTACGCACCAGTATTTTTTTGTATGTTTCGAGTTTTTATAATTTTTTTGACACATATAATGTATTCTTAAGTGCAACAAAATAAATAATTTCAGAGCAAAAAAGATTTTTTTTATATTTTTTTTATGCTTGGGATAATATGGGTTAAAATCCGACCTAACCAGTGCTTTTACAAAGCCAGACTATCTTCTCCGGTTCGCGTTCCGTTCACTTCGGAAAAATACCAAAGTGGGTTCCCAAAGGTTAACAATATTACGAATGACAGAATTATAACTGTTTAAGTTAGACCGGTAAATAATGCTACTCAAAAATAAACATTCAAAACACCCAAAACGAAATATGGGAAAATATCGCTCACTTAAAGCTAAGGGCGCCGACATATATATTCTTCCTCGAATAATGCTCATGTCAAATGAATGTGCAGGCATTTTTTTTTAATTAGAACACTGGAAAAACTGTTTGGAATTTCAAAACTAAAAAATACGTTTTATTGTCACCCCTTTTTGAATGGTGCATCTTAACGAACTTTACAATTTTTGTATTTACCATTTTTTCAAAAATGTTGAAACCGACTTTACTCTATAGTTGACTCACCCTGTACAAGTCAAGTCGGCGGACTTGTATGGGCGTGTGTGGCGGCCTTAACACATAAAAAACGGACACAAGCGACGGCGGACCGCTTCAGCTGAAATTACCGTCGTGGTACACAAAGCGCGTCATTTTCAGTTTTCTTCTTTGTAACCTCCGTAACCAGTTATTTTAACACGTCTGTTGACGATGTCAACAGCGAACAAGTAGTAGCGTCGCATCGTCGATTCTAAATAACAGTTGTTTGTTGTCGCGAGAATACGAAAATAGAATAACGCCCGTATGTCGTTCAGTTTCAGCAGTTGTTGTTTGGTCAGCGCGGTTTAAATTTGGATTAATAATCACGAGCCGGGTTTGCGAGGATTCTCCCGATGTAAGTATATATCAGCGACGCGATTATTTGTCGAAACCGCGTTTAACTGCAGTGCATCGTCTACGTCTGGCGATTTAATTTAATTTTAGGAGAATTTAAGGCAATGAATTCGTCCGGAAAGACCGCGTTTGTGTTTGCAAATTTCGCACTTGTTGGAATTTGAGAAAAACAAATTCATCCAAGAAAAATTGTTTGCCATTACACTTGGAAAATGTATCATACTTGGAAAGTTACCAAAGTCAAGTATTTTTTTCATTTACCACTTTTTATTGAAGGGTAAAATATGGGTAGAGTTTTAAAAATTAGATGTCGTTTTAATTATTTACGCCTACCAAAATCTTTAGAATAATTCACGACTCAGATATAAAAATTTTAAAATTCGTATGTACATATCGTACAGTTTTGAAGGGGACCCCCCCCCCTACCTAGAAGGAAATAGGCGAAAACTAATGGAGCTCAATTTTCATAAAATACGTATTTAGTACCGTTTCAAAGTTATAGGGCGTTTACGGAAAATGTGCTTTTTAGAAAAATTGCTGTAACTCTTTTGTTATAGGAAATTTTGTGTTTCTAACAAACATTTTTTTTACGCTAATGATATCATTAAACGAATATTTTATAAGTTATCATGCAAAAAAACGACATTTTGTATGTGAAATCCTGTATGGATCATTCTCCTATATATAACAATTAAGAATTGGTCACACAGGTTTAAAGGATAGAGTTACAGGGGTCGAATTAAAAAAGGAAAACGATTCTACTATTTACAAAACTTCTGAACTGCTTCAGCGTCGGTTGTTGTTGAGTCGAACATGCTAACGTTTCGCTAATCATCCTGTTGGCTTCTTCAGAGCTTAACTAAACTGGAAACGTTAGCAATAACCGATGCGTGAGGAATGCAGAAGTTTTGTAAATAGTATTACACAAGCCTGTGGAAGTTGCTTTAAAAAAAAAACGATTCTATTTTGCGATTTTGAAAAAAATTTTTGCCTCTTGTAAATAATCTTATATTTCTTTTATTGCATGTATTTTATGTGTCAACACTTGTTGTTTAGGTACTACTCTTCGAGACGCAAATGGAATTTAAAACCTGAAAAAGGATGTTATTAATATTTTTTTAAAGTTCTATTATGCATATTTGAGGTTAGGTTAAAGATATTGGTAAGATAAAGATATTGAAGCAGTTTTCACTAGGTGGTTGGACCGTCGTATTGACTATGTAATGTAAAAAGTTATATCGTGGCTATTTTTTTAGAAAATTAATTTTTAAGGGCTCCAATTCTTTTAGAATGAGTTCGAGTAATCAATATTTATTTCTGAGAATGTTTGAGCACCCTCCATAGAACAAAAAAGGAGATTTGAATTTAAAACTTTAAAATATTAGTTAAAATTATGGTTAAAATAAGATTTTTTTTGCAGAAACCTAGTTTTAGAAATTAAGATGTCAATTACGCCTCCCGTTTTCAGCACTTTCTCTTGGTGGATTTACTATATAACATTGTGTTTCCAATTTCTTAGACAGTCCATTTTCCTAATGCTGTAACTCGTAGTCCTTACGGAGGCATTTAAATCACTAACTTTTTCACTCACAGAATTATCACTAACTACACTTAATGGAATCATACATATACAAATGGACCAGCATATTATTTGTATCAAAATATTTAAATTTTTCAAATAAAGTTCTTCACCACTGTTTATTAGGTCTTTGTAAACCACCGATTTGATATAACCTCAAAAACAAAAATCCATTGGACTAAAATCAGGACTACGTGCCGGCCATTCAACAAACGCACTTCTTCTGTCAATCCGTTTATGGGGAAAGTTTAATTTAAGATAATTTCTTACAATTAGCCCAAAATCATGTGCTGTTCCGTCCAACAAAAGCGTCATGTCATTTTTAATTTTCTTATAGCGAAAGGTAAGCGATCAAATCAAATTTTTGAAGTCGTGTTGTAAAAAATGTAAAAATCCTAATGCATCAAGGTTTAGAGTAATTCAAATGTATAAAAGTAGTCTCCTAAATAATATCTTGTTAACAAAACTCATTTTGATGGTTTCGAGCTAAGTTAGAAAAATGTATTCTTGCTTGCAGATCAGGAAGCAGCAAACTGAACTAGTGTGAGATCATAGGGATAAAAACTTTCTTGATTCATTGTTGTAAATTCTGAAGCAGAACTGAACTCTAATAGCAACATTTAACGACGAATAATTTTCATATATCACAGAGCTGTCAAAATTATAACCTACCATGCCGCTTATGACCCATCAAAGCTTACTTTAATATGATAAAATTTTAACTAAAAACCTAAAAATACTTGAATTCTATAAAAGTGAAAACTAACTAAAAAGTAAAATAGGTTATAGCATAGTGGTGTATTTCTTTTTAAAAATCGTGAGGTGGCTTTGACTTGATGAAAATCCATTTTGAAAAAGAATTTAATATTATAAACCAAAAAGCTTTTAACAATGGTTACGACCCCTCTTTGATAGATAAGATTATAACTAAAAAGCAGTTTCAAATAAATCTGAACTCTATCTATCCCATATTAAACATCTACCTAAACACCGAACTAATCAAGTTCGGATTCTAATTTAAATTTAGCAATACTCCACTTTGATGATAATTTTGATATTTTATATAATCATTGAAAATGCGAAAAACTAAATTGGAGAGCTATGGAGATTAACAAAATGAGATCTTCGAATATGTTACTTACTGACCAATTGGATTTGAATGCTTCTCCGTTGTTATTTTTTATAACCCTATACCTGTAATTAAAAATCTATTACTACCTGTTTTTATATATAAGTGTCTTATTTTGTATTTGATAAAGGCACTGTGTTGCCGAAACAGCTAAAGCATTAAAAACTGTGAAAATCTGAACATTTTTTGTTCTAATTTAATTTGTATTTCTGTTTAAAATAAAAATATTTTATTATAAATTAATAATTAAATTGCAGATATTGACCATTTTTACTTAGAAATACCAGAGAATGAACCTGGCTTATAGAAATGAAATTTGAGAATATACCAGAAAAATATGATAGTATTTTTGTAACAATACGCCATCTACAAGTTTACGCGAAAATAATTACACCACCTAATTTCTCGTCCCCCAAAATTCCCTTATTTGAACTTTTGCGCCAATAAAATTGTGAATATAAGTAATGAAAAAAGGAAAAAACAAAATTACTCTTATTACCCTGTATCGCCGTAATTATTGACTTTAGGACATAGATTTATTTGACAAATCGAAATATTTTGATACAAAGATTATTCATTCGTTTTGAAACATCCTGTATATATCAATAGATGGTATCACAACCGCAAAATTGATTACAATAAGATTAAAAAATGTTGTGGTAGCTACAAAAAAAATATCGAAGCCTACGATTGGCGATAAAAAAATTGATCGGCGTCGATGTCGACGCGACACATAAAATATTAGCAAAGGCGGGGGACGCTTTGGCCCCACAAAAGAAAAAACGATAGATACACTCGAACGATTTGGGTCCGTTTGGCCGCTATCTCAACTGCCATCAAAGACCCTTTTTCGTTATAGGTTCCACTTCCCGATACTACTTCTTACAATCCACTTATGGAGTTTAAGCCAAACGAATCCCGTCATATCGACTTCGTCCTGCAAATGTTGGGAAGATTATCAAGCCGAGCCGACTGAATCGGGACTTGAATGCGTTGCCTTAGGTGAGTGAAGATAAATTTGATTGGACTACTCTACGTTGCTATCTATATATACTATGTATATGGCTAAAGGAACCGACGGAGCGGCATGTCGGTAGTAAAGGAAAGGACGCCCGACCTCACGGGTCCGGTTTGGTGAATTTTGAAATCAACGTGTACGTTAGAGCGAATTGATGTTTCAATTTATATGTACGACGATGAACGACGATGCATCTATGCGTATTTCGGACCTACCGGCCCACATTGGGTCAAAGTGAGGATCTAGCGCGACAAAACTAATATAATAATATTAATAATAATAATAATAATAATAAATAGTCTTTATTAGCATTACATGGGCAAAGTCTGGCATTTCCACTCACACTTAACACATTTCTAACTACAACTACATATAAATTACAAGTATGTAAGAAATTACAAAATAGAATGAATGATATATATGTATTCTGACGGATTATTTTACATTAAGTTTAGTAACTGTTTTTTTAAATGTAAGCTAAAATTTGTACATGAACCAAGTAACTTTGATTTGAGGCCGCTATTGAAGGAGTTGAACAAGCTTACAGCATTATATGTAAAAGAACATTGAATTTTTTTTGTTTTGTGCAGTGGCATTGGTGTCTTAGATTCAAGACATGAATGGATTTCCTATATATCAATTTGTCATTCAAATATTTTATTACACGTTTCAGGCAGCGTAAAAAGTTGTATTTGAAAACATCTATGATTTTTAACCAATTCAATCTTTTGAGAGCGGCGGATATGTGATCAAACTTGCATAGGTTAAAAATAAAGCGACAAGTATTTTGGATTTTTTGTAGACGATAAAATGTAACAGCGTCCAAACAGGGGTAACACACAGTGTTGCAGTAAGACAAGCGAGAGAAGATAAGACTTTGACACAACTGTAGTTTCATATCGTAGGACAATATATTTGAATATAACAATTTTAAACTCATATAACATTGTTTGGAGATGTGCTTAACATGATTCAAGAATTTCATATTCTTAATTACCTATTACTGAACTCTGTGGTACCCCTGATAGAATATCTATAAATATCATTAAAAATATGTGATCCGTTTTCAGTTTTATTAGTTCAAAGGCTGCTAACGTCATCCCCTTAGTTATTTTATTACTTTGTTGGTCAGCGTTTAGTTAAATATATCATGTTTCACGGATGCATTTCAACTAATAAGCACTTGGACTACAAATTTAAAAAAATCCAACAATGAGAACAAGCTTTCGGTAACATTGAAATATTTTTAGAAAATCCGAATTTAAAGGGTAAGTTTCACCGTTAAATTAATTTAAACATGCCGTTCGTGTTTTTTGAATAAGTTCCCCAAATATCATAAAATTGCTGTTTCAATGCTTGTTAAGAGCCCCCTATAAGAAAATTTTATATAAAGAATATTTTGCTGCTGCTGTGACATATTTTGAACAAGATTTTTTTGAAATCTAATTATTTAACACAAAAATCATAAGCATGACTCTCAGATACTCATTTTATTCACATAAAATATTTTTTGTTACTTTTTTTAAGTACGTCGTGATCATCTATATTTACCTACATTTTGTCTACATTTTGTTTTCGGAGATATTACTTATAGTATATATAGTATGCAACACGTCTGGTAATCGTTTTTAGTCACTCGTCACTTGCTCCGTTTGTGCTAAATAAACTCGAGTGCCGTTTACCACGCTTGTTGAATAATTTACAGTTATTTCATTTTGTTTCGTCATTTATTTTTTTATTATATGTAAGTAGACAAAATGTAGATAAATATAGATGATCATGACGTACTTAAAAAAAGTAACAAAAAATATTTTCGGGATATTACAGCACGGATTTGGGAGCAATCGGATGTTTTCGGAGATTTTAGCGCACTTCTTGAATTTTGACGTTTGTCAAATTTGATGGTCAGCTTAGTAAATTGCACAAATGTACCCAAAAATTAACGGCCGTAGAAGAAGTATAGCATTCAACACGTTTGGCAAACTTTTTAAGTCCTAATCATTATCATCATGGCGCAACATTGTGGCGCTTCTCGCATCCACTACTCCAGCGTCTATTGTCATTCGTTGAGACCGCCCATTTCCATTTCTTTTCGTATGCTTGTAATCGGGAACATCTTCTGCAGTACATAATTTCGGTAGAACGAGGTTTCTGAGTAATGTTTTTTTCTAGAACCCTCACTTCTGAGCCATACGTCAATACAGGCTCAAACTGGCCTGGTATGTATTTTTTTTTGTTATATTATTACTCCACAGAATTGGATGTAGTGCTTATTGTCCTTTCCGTTCTCATCTATTGTAGTCATAAATTTTGTCTTCTCAATGTTGGTCTTCTGCCAGCACAACCTGATCGTCTGCGAAGGGGATTGCATATAGGTGGGAGTCCTCTATATTTATTCCCATACTACTGCATTTTCTTATCCATTGCCTTAAAGCCCTGGTGAGATAAACTTTATACAGTGTGTGAACAAGGCAGGAGCCCTGCCTGACGCCTTTTGTTTGTGTGAAGGGGTCCGAAGTTTCGTTTCTGGCCTTTACAATCGCTTAGTTTTCTCTATACAGAGCTTTTTAAGTTTTAAGTTACTTGTTACTCGCTAGGCTGCGGTCCGCTCGTGTCAAATAAACTCGTTACTCAAATGCCGTTTACCCTATTACGTACAATATTCTATTTCATTTTGTCTTAAATATTATGTTTAATTTTTATTGGTTGACATATTTTTTGTCCAAATAAATGTCGATTAGACAAAATTACTTGCTATGGCAGGCAGCGCCTCAGGACTGTAGTAACTAATTTCTTAACATGTCTTGAAAATTTTCCAAAAACGTAATTTGAAGATGTTACTGGTAATACTCTGTTTATTGGTCACCCAAAAAATAAAATTCAAATAAAAGACACTGAATACCTACGTAGTTTTACATGTATTTTATAGTAAACTAACTGGACTGAAATAAGGGAAACGTCTGAAGAAACTGACGACCGTGAGCAACAAAGCTGACATCTTAAAGTAACACTTCCTGCATGCTTAATCGATGCATAACAGCATATTTTAGAGTAGTTATTAAAAAAATAATTGTACCAACAAAACCACAATAACATTGCTCACGATACCCTAGCCAGTTGTACAAAAATAGGGAAGAGACCAAATTCACTCCAAATTTAATGAGAATATCGAAAACCCTTTATAGTTTTATTAAACAAAATGACAAGGCCTCTGAAACAGTTTCTTTCATGTTTGAACTTATTAAGCGCAGGGTTGCACGATTGGGCTTCAACTTGGCAACATGGGAAACCTCAGGACCTAACGTATCGAGTCATTTTTGATAATGCTGAAAAATTCAGTAGCGTGACAGGCATTTTGTACCAAATCTTCGACGCGATTTTTCTGGATCACCATACCGGTGTCTTTGCCGTTTTTTCTTCGACCTATGATATTCCAATAACACCCTGAATTTTGAAGTAATGTAATAAAAAAAAATGCGTCAATCTTATTTTCACCCGAATTTAAAAAACCTTTATTTAGCACGCTTAATATAGAACCTAAATCTGTGTGATTTTTGCACTTTTTTATCAGTACGAAATATATTTCTATGCATGGATTCAAACCAATGACTAGTTCTGAACATTTTTGGCGTGGAGATGTATGTTTGGTTGCGGAATATCTTGTAAATAATAAGTACTTTGGCCCTACGTTTGAGGAGGGTTTTATATTTTTTATTTTAAAGTATGTATTTTAAATTAGACAGATTACGTCGAATACAAGACACAATAGTTCAAATTTGCCAGTGTGTGCCATTTATATGGTTATTATTATTTTAAATCCTGAAGGCGAATGCACTGAAAATATAAAATAAATATTATTATGATTTTTTGGGTGTTGCGTGTGCCACCCGGAATACAAAATTACTAAAAAAACTACATTCACAATATCAGAATGTAAATAAGGAAATATGGATCTTAATCAAAAGTAAAACACTTATTCCGGAAAAGAAACCACTGTGAGTGCTCACTAATTAATAAAAACTATAATAAGTACGAATTTTCTAGAATTTTAAGGAAATATACATTATTAACATTATAAAAGAACGATCTTTTGTAATGTGTAATTCTTTTCAGATCAATTCCACGTGATGCCGTGCAACATGCCCCACCTACCAAAGTGCGAATGTTCCGGCGGCGTCAGCAACATTTTAAAAGACGAAACTGGCACATGGTGTACCAAATACCGCAAAGGGGAGGAGCTGACACGTTGGCCATGCGAGAACACCAAAGACTGGAACGAATTCTTCAAGACCAATCCCAATCTCGTGTAATAACATCGAAGAGCAAAGTTTGATTTAAGATGTCACTAACAGTAACAGTTTAACACTACCAGTTCTTTGAACTTATGCTGCATTCCGTGTTTCCTTGTTGAGTTATCACAGAGTATAAATGTGTATTCTGTGATTATGTTGATCACATCCTTCGCTCCTAACGGCAGATGGCGTTACTTTTACAGAAACCTTGATTCTTATGATGGCTGAACGTAAGCGTTGATCTAACATTGAAGCGCAAAAGAATTGATAATTTATTTACTGCTGTAGTTGCTGTGGCAACAGAAATCATATTTAACTGGTACAAGTTCTCTTACTCACACTCGTGAATACGAGAGGTTAGTCAGGGTGTTTTCTAATTGAATATCAATAGTTAAGGAGGCGATTTTTAGGTCAATTTCAAAAAGAAAACTTCATATGAATATGTCCTAAACATTTTAACTTTTGAAATATATTGGTTAAGTTTTTAAAAGTAAAATATGTTTTTTTAATATCTATAATAGCACTTTGACATTTTAATGAAATTTGGCACGAATGTACTATGTATCAAAAGGCACCTCTACTATGGATGGTCACAACAATATCGTTAATATGACAAATTCATCTCTTCGCGTCTTATTAATTTGATGTTTAAAATTCTGCGCATTTTTATTTTAAAAAAGAATTATCGAGGTGACTAACGAGGAGTTGGCAGATATGCATTTTATGTATTATGGTTTGACTGATGAGAGTGCGACAGAACCTAGGCGAGTATATCAAGAGCGCTTTCCTAATAGTCATACCAGATAGGCGAACATTTTGAAATGTACATAGAAGGTTGACTGAAACAGGTGCTTTGAGGGCAAATAATCATTTAAAAGTGGCTCATTGGACTGTAGGACCCCAAAAATTGAAGAAGCAGTTTTAAATTTTATTGTTGAAAATCCTGAACTTAGTGGAAATATTCTGAATATTTCGCACGTCTTGGTTTGGACAAGTTTGCACGATTTTCTTTTGTAGCCATATAATATTCAACCAGTCCAAGCGTTACTTCTCAGAGACAAAATTGCGCATTCTCCGTTGTTCGATCAAGAAATACTATTTTCAGATGAAATATTCACAATAACCATATTTGGGTCGATGAAAATCCCCATGTAGTTGCATAAATTAAACAGCATTCGGTAAATGGGCTGAAATTGTTGGAAAGGCAAAATGGTCATAATTATTACCAGTTTTTGGGAGAGGATTTGCCAATATTAGTAATAGTAAGAGCATATTTGAATCACACATTTAATAACCGATGGGTAGGTCGCGGCGGACTTCAATCATGGCCCCCTGGGTCCCAGATTTAAATAGTTTGAACTTTTTCTTAGGGGAGCATCTAAAAGGTCTGGTTTATTGCAACCCAGTTAACACTGTAGAAGGGATGAAGAATCATACAAGAGCTGCGATTAAATAAGAATTGAGGAAAATATGAGGAAAAGAGCTGAAGCCTATATCCTTCAGCTCACAGCTTATCTAGTTTATATGATCTACTTTTTTTAAAGAGTTGTTTTTGTTAAAAATTATTAATAGTAGGTATTGTTTTTTTTTTTTAATAAGAATCGTTTATTATTTATCTTGTTGTTGGGATGTTATGTTATTTCATTAAAACTGTAAAAGTAAAGTAAGAGTATTTTAATATTTTTTTTCTGAAAGACATTAGTTGGTAACTAAAAACTTGATATTTTTTTACTGATATGTTATCTTTCACCAAAAAAGTTCTCGATTTAACGAGCGCAGTGGCGACGTAATTAACAAAAATACTATTTGTTCATTGCCAGTCAGTGACACGCCATTGATTTCCTTAAAAAAATAATGACATTTGCGTTCATTTATGAATACATTTGATCTCTTCATTTTTTTTTTAGTCCGCCGCACGGTTTTCACCTAAAAGTAAAAACTAATTTCTCTGCATGCTGTCATATCGATTGATGATTGAAAATTGTAAGAATAATTTTTACTTTAATATATTGTTGAAAGTTCCAACGGCCGCCACTGATGTATTTTTAAAAAAATGTACTACGCTAAATATTGCCTTATGATACATAGTACATGTGCGCCAAATTTCATTAAAATATCTAAAGCGGTATTGCAGATATTAAAAAAATATATTTTATTTTTGAAAACTTTAGGACATATTTGCATATAAAGTATTATTTTTAAAATGGACCAAAAAATAGCCCCCCTTATTTTCTAACATTCAATTAGAAAACATCCAGTATATTTATTTTTTCTTTTTTTTTATTCTTTCTGTTACCTTTACTGAAAATATATAAATCAGGACTCTGTACATTTTAATTGGCTGTAACTTTTTTGTTTTTAGAGATATCAAGGTAAACGAAAAAACACAATGTAGGGTTAGTACCCAAGTCTTTTCGTGACGTATAAAATTAAACACTGTCAATTTTCTGACATTATAAGCCTACATCATATATTTTTTTAACTGAACACCCTGTATATTATATATGTATTTAATGCAATATTTTATTCCGATTACAACGATGTAACACACGTTATATTTTAGTCTACGCATTTTTGACAAATTGGCAAAAATAGGATATTTTTTACATCATTCAAACAGTGCCGTGACTGACAGCAACAGTAATTATTTACAAATTAAAGTAGAACAAAAACACTCAAAATGACAAGACACACTAAAGTAAAAAAAAAACATTTTCCTGAACACATTTCTCATACACTCTAACTATGTCTTGCATTTAGTAACGTTTCCGGATTGTCTCTTCACCGATTGATTGCTTCTGAAATCCTTTGCCGAGGTTCCACGACATTATTACAAGGAGTTCTGTGATTTTTTATGTGCCCTTAAAAGAAAAAATCCATTAAAGTTAAATCGGGGCTGTTGGCTGGGCAATCCATATTTCCACCGTTACCTTATCTAACCCCTGTTATATTCCATGTTTAACTTGCGTAACATTGTGAGGAAGGACACTGTCTTGCTGATCGCTGATATATTTAGAAATAGATATTCTATATATTGTTCTATGTGGTGCTCTGAGAGTTGCAAATAATGATCTCCAGTTAACTTTTGATCTATAAATATCGGACCCAAAAAATGCCCATCTATGACACTATACCATACATTAATTTACTGTTTCCCCTGGGTTTTTATTTTGTGTATTTGTCTAGGATTATTTAAATACCATTATCGCGTATTTTGTCTATTACAACCATTTCGGATTTTTATCCGTCCATAAAATTACTATTCTCATTATGTTTATTTAAAAAATCCAAACAAGACTGCATCCTCCTTTGACATTGTTCTGCACTTAGTTTTTAAATTTGACGAAATTTAAATGATACATTATATTTATATTCTTTCAAAAATGAGTGGATTGATGCCCGATAAATACCTTTTCTTTTCATATACTCTAGTAATAGAAGAAACTGGATGTGCTTCATAGAATCTTAATATGTTTGTCATATTTTATTCATTAAAAACATCATTATGTTTACTGATATTTTTATTTGTCAGTCAGAGCACTCTTTGAAATTACATAAAAATCCCTTATTTTTGCCGATTTGTCAAAAACGAGTAGACTAAAATATAAAGTGTGTTACATCGTTGTAGTCGGAAGATATTCTATGAAACACGTATATAAATGTTCCATTTAAAAAATATGAATATAAATTGTTATATGTCAGAAAATTCAAAGTGTTTTGTTTTATACGTCGCTTGGAAAAAACTTGGCTACTAATACTATATTATATTTTTTTGCTTAATTTGATATCTCTAAAAACAAAAAAGTTAAAGTCAATTAAAATGTAATCAAGATAAATTGAGCGCACGGTGCGTCCTAACCAAGCCAAATAAAATTGTTAATTCAAATTAGCCACCGACACGATTTTTAAAAATAATAAATTAAAATTAAATCTTAGAAACTCTAATTCGGAGCGAAATATTTTCAGCAACACCCGGTACGAACTGTGCAAGTCGGAAAAACCGCCCAGATGCGAATGTTCGGGCGACTTTGGGGGTATAATGAAAGACCGAAGCGGAACGTGGTGTATCAGTTACACGAAAAATTTGACGGAAACAAAATGGCCGTGCGAAAACGAAGACGAATGGAAAAAATACTATGCTAAACATCCCTACTTTATTTATTGTTAATAGTATTGTATTAGATTTGCGTTTTGGTACTAAAATAAATTTTTTTGTATTGATTTTCGTACTTGAAATGGGAGAGGGGGGCAAATATTTAAAACAAGAAAATTTTAATAACAGGCAAAGGAAAATGCTATAAATTAGATAAATAAAATAAGCAACATAAAAAATAGGTGACTAATAACGGGAATATAATTCTTTTATTTAATTTTTAATTCCAACTAGGCTTATAAAAAAGTCCCGATGCTGCATCACCTGTAAGTAATAAATCTTTCTCATCATGGTAGAGTAATTCTCAAACTTTCTACTAAGAGACACGAAGATGGTTGAATTAGGAAAAAGTGGGAAAATTTATTGAAAAAATAAAAAAGGCAACGAGAAAGTGACCTATATGCTTTTATATCCCCTCAAATAACAGCAGTAAAAAATAATAGCGGAATAAGCTAATTTCAGTTTTCTTGGAGTATTTTCGGAAATGATAATTTTGTAGTTTTCTCAACATCGCTTTATTAGACTTTAAATGTTCTAATTTCCAATATCTTCAGGATAGACATCATTATGTTGGACACACTGTGTATCGGTATTATATTAGAAAGCACACAGAACTACTGTTTACAAAACTTCTGGACTCCTCCTGCGCCGGTTGTTGTTGAGTCGAACTTGCTAACGTTTCGCCAAATCATCCTGTTGGCTTCTTCTGAAACTGTTTCAGTTAAGCTCTGAAGAAGTCAACTGAACCAGTTTTAGTTAAGCTCTGAAGAAGCCAACTAAAACAGTTTCAGTTAAGCTCCGAAGAAGCCAACTAAAACAGTTTCAGTTAAGCTCCGAAGAAGCCAACTAAAACAGTTTCAGTTAAGCTCCGAAGAAGCCAACTAAAACAGTTTCAGTTAAGCTCCGAAGAAGCCAACTAAAACAGTTTCAGTTAAGCTCCGAAGAAGCCAACTAAAACAGTTTCAGTTAAGCTCCGAAGAAGCCAACTAAAACAGTTTCAGTTAAGCTCCGAAGAAGCCAACTAAAACAGTTTCAGTTAAGCTCCGAAGAAGCCAACTAAAACAGTTTCAGTTAAGCTCCGAAGAAGCCAACTAAAACAGTTTCAGTTAAGCTCCGAAGAAGCCAACTAAAACAGTTTCAGTTAAGCTCCGAAGAAGCCAACTAAAACAGTTTCAGTTAAGCTCCGAAGAAGCCAACTAAAACAGTTTCAGTTAAGCTCCGAAGAAGCCAACTAAAACAGTTTCAGTTAAGGGCCGAAGAAGTCAACCAAAACAGTTTCATTTAAGCTCCGAAGAAGCCAACTGAAACAGTTTCAGTTAAGGTCCGAAGAAGCCAACAAAAACAGTTTCATTTAAGCTCCGAAGAAGCCATCTGAAACAGTTTCAGTAAAGCTCCGAAGAAGCCACCTGAAACAGTTTCGGTTTAGCTCCGAAGAAGCCAACTAAAACAGTTTCAGTTAAGGTCCGAAGAAGCCAACTGGATTATTGGCGAAACGTTAGCAAGTTCGACTCAATAATCGACGCAGAAGGAATATAGAAGTTTTGTAAATAGTATAACAGTAGCAGGTGGAAGTTTCATTGAAAAATTAGCACACAGACCTACCACTATTTCCATAAAATTCTCCATAAATTAAGGTTGATGCTTTTACCTCCTAATAAGTCAATAGAAAACTAAACAAGGAACACTTGTATTAAATAAATAGCAAAGGTACCGCGAACCAATAAAAATATAATAAATAGGCTATTGTTAATTACAAATTAGTGATTATTTTGTAAGGAAACACCTAACTAATTAGAGATAAGAGATAACAATAGAAAATGGTAATAAGTGGTAAGTGATAAGAACAAGATTTACCGAGATCCCACAGCCGTGCAGAAATTATAATAAGCTATATGGATTTTAACTAGAAACCGAATGAGTTGTAGCAATAGAATTACTATTTTTGAACTCTGTTTGATGGTGGATCTAAAATATCGGCTGCTGAATAACCTATTCTTTTTTTTCTACTTTCTTCTTTTAACATTGCAGACCTTTTTGGAGATATTCCCCACAGCTTGAATTTTGACGTTTTGACGTCAGTTCTGTTGTGTTCTATTCGTGTTGCAATTGTTTTGCAAAAATTTACGCAAAACTAACGGTCGTAGCACATACATTCTGAAAAAAAAATGCGCAAAACTTCCACATATCAATGAATACAAATTTTCATTCCGTACCCACATAAAAATCTTATTTATTTTGGTTATGGTCAAGTATAGAGGCAAACAAATTATGCCCACATTAACTTATCCGACTTACTGCTTCCGGTATTAATCCTGTTGTTATTGTAGGCCAGTTAGAATAGGAGTTGTGCAAGGCATATTATTTGCTATTCCAATTCAAAACACATTTTCGAGCTCATCAAACTCTTCCGTTAAGTACATCGTCATTTTCTCTTGGGAAAACATAGTCTAAGTAATCAAATATATATCCTTTTAAAGGATTGCTTAAATCTTGTTTTATCGATAACTTATCTGGATTACTGTCGTTATCATTTTAGACGTCACTTTAACGATAACTAGTCAAGTTTTTACATTACACTCTTGACACTATAAAAATGTGACGTGGAAAACAATCAGTTACAGTCTAGTCAACAATAAGAGACGAGTAATAAAATTGTTGTCCGCATTTTCCACTTGTTCTGCGGCGTTCACAGTTGACCACCATTAGTCATTAATTTCTTAAAAGGCACGTATTATAATAAATAACTGCCTTTAGCCACGTGGCTGCCTTCTCGAAAAGTGAAATGGAGCGTATTCTCTCTTCCCCGTTACAAAGTAGGTACCTGATTCATGAATGATACGATTTGAATCAGCAAAACGCGGGTTGTGTACATTAGCCGTGAGGACGTTAAAAGCGATACCGTCTTTGATGTTGTCGAGAATTTCTTTAGTTCGCCATATTAAGTGTGTTCCTACGCATTACGTCTTCTTTGAAGTTCTTCGAAATTTGCGAAATTGCAAGCGCAGCTGTGCCTCCCGTTACTTCCGCAAGACGAGCCATAAATTTCTTTATACGACCTAAATACATTTAATTATACGAAATCCCCAGGGAGAACTCAACGGAATGGCTGAAATGGTTTCTCCAATAATGCGAACATGGTTGAAGCTTTATCCGAGGTTCATGTTCCACAACTCCCGGGAGTTTGCGCAGTCAACGATGGCCTGAATCGTTCAAGTAAGCAAAAAGGCTTGATTGTTGTTTTATATTTTGTTATACATGTATTTTTTCAAAGTTTTGATGGAATTAAATTTTATGAAGATATTTTTTTTTATTTAGCCATCCTTAGAAATTTAAAAATTAGTAGTAAGTAGTAAGTTTTCAAATTAGTACTCCTGCAAATTTAAATGTACTATGACACAATATAAATAATGCTTGAACAATTACACCAGAAATTGAACAACAATGACAATTTTTTTGTGTGTGTAGTTTTGGTTAGTTTTGGTAATATAAAATATATGAAATCTATATTTTACAACACCCAATCTAAAAAAATTGAAGTATACAAAAACAAACAAACAAATAATTTGACAGCAAATTAACATAGTACCAATTGGAAAAAACTTAATTACATTAGTAAGGTATTATGATATTCTTTCAGAACTTTGTATTTTTTCGATGATATTTAATAAGTTCCTGCTTTACTTTAGCTATGTCAATCTTTTTTTAACAATAAAACCTATGAAATTGCCACCTTTAAAATAGGATATTTAATAAATTCTATTTTCCAATATACCATCCCTCTTCTTATGATGCAACATATATTTCTATTTCTTCGGAACCCAATATATTCCAATGTATCTTCTGTTTTAAATGACTTATAACCACAAAATTTTTGACAAATTACCTTCGAATTTTCTCAAATTACTTAATATTTCAAATATAATTCCACCAGTTGCCACAGATTTCCACTATAATAATTACTACTAATTACAACTCATTTTCCCTGAAATTTTCATTAATTACAGTTGCAAAACAATCAATTATATTTTATTGATTATCGAGAGAGATTAAAAAAAAAATACAATGCCAACCCAAGCAACACTAAATAGCGTATTACACGTTTTTGTTTTGTCTGAACAATACCAATAATTTTAGTTAATCATAAAGTTTAATTTAATTTAATGTAATACACACAAGAAACGATAAAAAAAGATAGACAATGCGCACAACCATAACATGCTGCAGACCGGCGGCATAGAAATATAATTACAGAGACATGAACCAGCCAGAACATCCAGAACGAGCATAACTAAGGTCACGTGGCCTACATGTAACGCTTCGATTTGTTGTCTATGATCATGCTGCCGAAAAGAGCGGAAGATCCGTTAGTAAAACGTTTATCTTCCTATGACATTTACCCTGATAGATAAAGAAAAGAAGAAAACTGAGGGCATTTTATTAATAGGAACTAAATAGGACAATGTTTGCTTGGAGTTTAGGTACTTCTATGCTTATATTTATAATATCATTGAGCTTCCGCTCAAAGAAAAGAGTTTATGACATATATTTATTAAAGCAAATGTATTCCATTTTAATAATATATTTATAAAAAACTTGTGTATTCGTGTAAACTAAAAATTGTTTATAAACCAATATCAAGATGTAATTAAGTAAGTACGTAATAAGTTTAATAATAGTCTAAATTACACATGAAGTTAAATTTCACCCAAGTACCACTATCATAGATGGCAATAGTCTGAAGTAATTTTATTAGGTTTTGGTATAACGTTGATGGTAAAAATTGAATTCCCTTTCGAAAGATATAAATTGTTTGGTTTCAGAAATAAAAGCAAGTTTCTATAAAAACTGGATTACTTTGACATAATTTTAACTTTTCACTGGCTCCAGTGTCGTGCTAATAAAAATTTAAAAAATAAAGAAAATAATTAGTTTCTCGAAAATCGCTAGAGATAGGTATAGGCAGTTATTATTGAAAAACAATCATAAAGTATTAGAGGATCGAAAAATGTAATAATATACATTTAAAATTTC